TCCCCTTGTAAAAAGCAAAACAAATAATGGGCGATCTTAACTTATTGAAATTTTTTTCAAAGAAAAGGCATCATTCATTATAGAAATTATGTTGAACAACCAAAGATGAATTAGCTTTGCGATAACTCAGTAGTGAAATAGTGATGCAGGCATCCATTCAATTATGTTTAGCAATTTTATACAGTCAAAAGTTTTAATCCGGACTCGTCGGGACTTCGCGATTCCGGATCATAGATCACGTTTAAATCTGTAAGACGGCATGCCAGAATTATTAAAATTAAAATATGAACATTAATTTATGAAAAAAGAAAATTATGATCTAAAGGGTATCAAATTTACAAAAAAAAAAAAAAAAAAAAAAAAAAAGGCCTTATATTTATTTGTTACTTTATTAAACATTTCTTTCAATGTAAGTTGTTGTTTAAGTACTTTGTTTTATGTGCTAATATTCTCTTTAATTCTATAAAAACAGACATATTTCTGTTCAGTTACAAAGTTCTGCTGTTAAGTCCTGTAATGCTGTGCTGAGAATACCGACTAACTTGTCAATCGAAATTTTTCGTTTACTAACCTCTGTCACTTCTTCATACCTTTATCCATTTTTGCAACAATTCCACTTTTTTTGATGGACATCGAACATACTGTCGCTTTGTAGCCCGTTGGAGCTAGCAGCGGAAATTCTATTTGACATAATCGAAAGTTCAAGCTTACTTTTATAAATTGCTTTAATAGTCTGCAAAAAAAAGCTGGATAATTTTAGCTTATACCATCCGTTAGACATTAAAGCGCATGGTAATCGTATTATGCGCGTTGCGCACACGCATATGCGCAGCCGTAAAAGTCTACGTGCATGGTAAATGCCTATGCGCATGCAACGCATGAAGAAAAGTTTGTAGCTTTGAGGTCGGTTATAGATCACTCGGATTATGGGTGTCCGAATTATAAACTATAATAATGATCTGAAATAGTTATTTACTCTTAGCTTCCATTCAGTCATGTTTAGCCTTTTTTATATAAATTATAATAATAAAAAAGTATATATGAAGTTAACCTTTCATCTAAATTAAAACATCATTCTTAGATATAGTTATTTACTATTGCACTTCTTTTCTTGCATTAAGGGTTGCCGCAATTATTTTTGGTAGCACTGGCATCAATAATAGTTTGGTTTATTTTACAGCCCTCAAAACCAAATAGTACCGGTTTAATTATAATATTATCAAAATTCTTAGGATTCAAATAGAATGGATAAAAATGCATATTTTTCTACAAGTAAATGAGCACAACACAGATAATAATAATTTTCTTTGTTTTTTCCTCAATTCTACGGGCTTTACACAAATCTCAAATTACCCCATTTTACAGCCAAAGATGACTATACTGATGTTATTAAAATAAATACATTAAATTCAATAGCTGTCTCATTAATACATTACCTTATAACTGCAGCACTATAAGACACAAATACAGTAAAAGCACAACTATTCAAGTAACCAGAAAGCTCAGGTAGCTGGAACTTTTTAAAATTTGAGAAATTTTTCTTTTTGAAAAAATAAACAAATGAGAGACTAGTAAAGTCATCTTAAGGCCCGTTTCCACTGCTGCGTATGCGTTGCGGTGTGTTTCTCCAATCAGCGAGCGAATTCACTTTGATTAACATCTGCAGTCCGGTCGGTGTGCGATGACGGATGACATATGGATGGAGTTCAACAATGTTCAACTTCTATCCGTATGTCTGCGGATGTGTTGGGTCACTTGTGAAAGGAACAATATGTGTAGTCACCAAAAATTAATGGCGGCAGAAGAGCGATGAATGCTCTCTTAGAAAGAACGTTTGCTAAAAAATACTTATTTCTGAATTAACATTATAGCGAGAAATCTGCATGCTGAAAAAGATAGCAATCAGTGAATTTAGTTAAAAAAAGATAGAAAACAAGATAACTGCAATACAGTTTGTCGTTCAAGAAATTCAGTAAGAAAATCAGGGCAAAAATATAATTCCAAGTCCATGAATAGCAAAATTTGTTCTTGAAATCATTCCGTTCTGCATACTATTTAGCTTTTGAATGAAATGAGGACATATCAAACTGCCTAGCAATTAGATATGATTAAAAATTTGCTATTTTTCTTTGAAACAGGTAAAAACTAAAACGTTATTATAATAAATTTGATGCTTTCAATACTCCATTCATGAAGTATGTTAAATTTGATTTCCCTTTATAAATAATCTTTTGGTACATATATTGTTAGACATGAAATATATTTTTAGCGCCGTTTAACTTCAATCGGAACGCCACTTTAAAAATAATGATTTTTATGTACTAGAACGAAGAACAAACTCTGTGATTTTTCAGCTATAGCACACTGAAAGGACCAAAAAACTTAAGTTTAAGAATGATTTACTGATGATTATATAGCAAATATGCATCGACTAGTGCCTCCTAGCTTAGTGTAAGCTGTAGTAACGATTTCACCTTTTGGGTCGTGAGTTCGAATCAATCGCTTTTTGCACCTGTTTGAACTTTCTACTTTTTTTCAATTATATATTCGTGTTTTATAATTATTTTATTATATGATAAATATTTGTTTTATTTGTGCTTATTATTTAAATTTTTCCCACAAAAAAAGTTTGAAATTATATACTAATTTAAAGCATATCCTGTAAATATATATTTGAATTAAGAACATCTCTATTTTAAAAAGAAATTTAAGGTTTAATTTTTAATGAAATTAATGCAAAAAAAGAAATGTTAATTTTGTACGAACTAATACAAGATCATGTAATTATGAAGGTATGTAATCAGTGAGTATCAAAATCCATGAATAATATATAATCCAAAAATTAGAATCCTAAAAATTTATAAAATTTATAAATAAGTAATGCATTTATAAAAATGCAAAAGGGATAATAATTAAATAAAATTCATACATTATCTGGATTGATTTACTTTTCTCTCGAATTAATGATAGGTATTTATTCGCGCAATATTAATATTTTTTGCATTAATTGCATTTGTATTTTAATTTAAATTTGCTATTTTACGAATAGAAAAGTTGTCAATTCAATTGATTCCTTGCAGCAATGGCGCAAAGAATTATTTAAGTTATTTTTGAACCCTGCAGATATCTCTCGATAGTTCGTTTCCTTTTAGTGATGTATATCATGTGGTCAGCCTTTGGGATGTTTACGCTCTAACGTTCATGACATTACATGACAGGATTAATGCCTACACCTTTTTTAACTAAAAATTCTCTAATAATTGCTTTTAAATTCAGTCTCTCCGCCGAACGAGAAGTCATTAATTACCTATTCCCTTTTCTTTCCTACCCCTGGTGATAATCCAGAGAAAACTCTTATTTTATAACTTCTTTTAAAAAAGATAGAATAAAAGGTTAAATTCCCCTCTGTTATGGAATGCATAAAATATAACTGCCCCTAGTGCCTTTTAAACAAACGAGATTTTTCATACTTCTCCAGCTATGACCTGCATCACGGTATACAGCATAGCAATTTTGTGTAATAGTTGCCTTCTTCAGTTGCTTGTACTTTTAAATTCACTATTTCAAGTCCTTTAACTTTTTGTTTATTTATTTCTTGTTTGCGTTTTCATAACACATTTTTTTTATAATATATCTATATTATCTAAGATTGAAGCTCAGAAAGACAATTTTTTTTTTTTTTTTAATTTACTTCAGCTTCCAGGACTATGCTGTTCATAATAGCCTTATAACTTACTTATCTAAAATTGTTCGCGTACTTGTTCGCCGTTCATACGCCGAAATAAAAAATTTCCAATACAGGCATCGTTACCAAAGCTTTCTGCGTTTTCGTCAGGATCCATATCAAATCACACCAAAATACTCTACCGGGAAAATCCGATGTTCAGCGTCGTACTCGCGCATGCTTGTTGGCCCAACTATACGGACACCTAGCGGCGAAAATGAACATTTTTACGGCTACGCCAGGGAACGCTTGTACGGATGCCGTAGGCGTGTCTTCCATTGACGCAACGCGTTCGTACGCAGTAGTGGAAACGAGCCTTTAAGCATGCACTGGATGACAACTCGAAATTAACAAAAACTGTCAACAAATAGTGCAATTCATCATGAATAATGAATAAGCATAATCTCGCCATACAATCTTGAGATTTTTACCTCAGTTTTAAGCAAAACTGATTAATTCTCAACAAAAAGGTTTAGTTTTTGTGAAGAGCAATACAAATGGACAAACACTGATGATGTAATCTGGAAAATTAAAACACACAATTTATATTTTTATATGCCATATCCATAACATGTATCCCTTTTTACCTAAAATAAAGATCAAAATTCTGCCAGAACAATTGTGCAAGTTTGGTGGTTAGCCATTCACTTTCATCGTTGACAAGGGTTTATGATCAAACAAAGATTGTGTTACTAGTACATTTCCATTATGCGCCTGACACACATTTTGGCATGTGTGTGTATGTTTGCCTGTGTATACACACACAAAGTACTTTCATGTTATGCACACACATGCATATACTAACATATATACCAAACTGCATGGCAGATGGACAGCAAAAAAGTGTCATTTTACTTTCATACGTTTAAGGGCTACAGAAATATGTTGGCTTCTACGACTGAAAGACACTTTTTTTTTTAATCTCACAATATAAAATAGAGACCTTTGAAATTCAAGCTGACAATAAATACATTGACATCTTTTATAATTTTATATACAAAATGTCTTCATCCATTCATTTAGCATTCACTGCATTTTTCATATGCTCAATTATCCAGAATTTGCATGTATTAGGTGACATTCAGCATTTCTCAAGCTTTCTAAATAGCGAGTTTTCATTGTATCTTAAGCATAATTTCAATAAAAATAACTATAAAATATTATTTATGTGCTATAACTTTGAAAATAATAACATTAAATGTATTGATACAGAAAAAATCTTCCTACAACTGACACTTCAGTGAGAAAAAATATAGACAATATATATGCATTATACCTTGTACTTGTCAGCCTGACTGGAGGCGCAGGGGGCTTTTCTTCCATATCATCATATGTATGCATTCTGAAAAACACAAAGAAACATTATAAAATTAATTACAAAAACATATTTACATCATTATTCAACAAAAATGTATTTATATTACTATTATTCATGGCCATGCATTTATTCGTTAAATAAAAATACAACAATTTATTTAATCAATTATGCATTTATCTTTAACTTAAATTATTAGTAATACAGTACATACAATAAACATTTACTCATTGGTAATATACAAAGAAAAATTAAATCAAAATTAAAAAAAAAAAAAAAAAAGAAAGAAATTTCAAGAAGTAATAAAAAATTTTGATAGAAAATCAGTATTTAAAAATATTTTGGGTAGTTTTTCATTAAAGCCATACCACACATTTTCAGTTGTGCACTGGTACATTTTGGCATATTTATGTCCCCCCATGCTTTTACCTCAATACAATACATTTTTTGGTACTTTGGTATTAGAGTCAGTCGTGAAAACTGGCTACCATCGAACCATGCAAAATAGCAGAGTTCCACCAAAGCATTCCTATGGAATTCTGAAGGAATTAATGCCTTTTTATTTCATTTTATATAATACAGCACATAATGACAATCAGCATTTAACTTATTCCATTTTTCCACTTTGTACAAAATATAAAAATGTCAATTTCTACTATTTTCTTAAGCCCTGACATTTTACTAGAAGCTATGTTTAAAATGCTAATTATTTTTTCACAATGCAAAATGTATTGTTATATTATATTTATCCATAATTAGCACTAGATTGTGCTGCTTGGCCTTATTTTCACAGGATAATAAGTACTCTTCTTTTACTAATCACTTTTCCTCTATATTATTTCTTTAATATTTTCTATTTCACTTTTTAAATTCCTCCCTTCATTCCTTTTTGTCCATTCATCTCTGAAACACTTCAGAACAGGAAAAAAAAAAAAGAAGAAAAAAAAAAAACTATGTTTATTGCTTCTAATTTATTACATACTATATGTACACCTAAAATAAAGAAACAGCAATTAATAAACTTTGCACTAAAAATAATCATCTATAGCATTAAAATGCAGGTAGTACACATTTATGTTATCAGATGTGAAAAATTTAGATGAATTTAATACATTCAATATCCCATAGCTTCTAAAAATTGATGACTTTCTTGAACCATTTTCTTTCAGAAATCTTAAAGTGAAGAGTAGCTGCATATTTTGTTTTATCATAAAATCTTTTAGAACAAAATTAACATGATACTCTTAACTTTTAATATACCTAAGTCAATAAAAATGATCTCTACAGTATTTAAAATATCTCTTTTCATTTAAATGAATTACATACATTAAAGTTTGTGCAATTAACAATAATTAGCTATAAATAAGTTAATTAGCTATAAATTACACATTTTATTTTAAACTTCAGTGGAATGCAGAAAAAATAATTTGGTAAAAGTATATTTACGGGTATCCCTTGCAAAAATTGGTGATTTTTGACAGTACATGGATACCGAGTTTGTGCAATTCTTTGACTAGGCATTGCACATTCAATTGACTTTATTCATGTACACATAAACCTATTTTCACTTGAAAAAACATCAGAGAATTGCACAAACTTTGCATTGCGCACTTCCTTAACTTTGTCCATGTACACATTGATATATTTTCACTTAAAAAAACAAAAGAGCACCCAATTCTAGGTAAAAGTATCTTTACGGAACATTCAACGGCTGATCTTTGGAATATGGTAACAGGTAGTTTGCGACATTTTGGAAGCGATAAAGGTTACTACCTAGGACTTTGGTAATAATGTGAGAAGTACTCAGTTCGGATTACGGCATTATTTTGTGTGAGGGAAATGAGAGATCGTGAGATATGTCATGTGACATTAATGGACGAATTACAGTTCTTTAATCGGAAAAAGGGGGTAAATTTGGAAAAATATCTGTAGTAATATATTATTTTGTATTAAGCTTCAGTGTGTGTTGTGTGAAATAGTATTGATTAATTTTCGGATTGCACGGGCATGTAGGTGAATTCTAATTTTTAAGCGTTATCTGATAATAATAATAGTTGAGATTGTGTGAAAGGAAGGATATTACAGATAAGTTTAATGGAGGTGCAAGAAATCTGGTGAAATGGACATTTTGTGAAACAGAGTGTAAGGAAGGGTACGTGGTTTGCTGAAAGTAGTTTGAGTATGGGTGAAATTTTATTAATTTCTTATTACTGGGTGAATAGACTGCCAGTTGACTACTGGATTTCGGATTTAGAAAATTAGCAGTAGTACTGCAGCGATGGAACTCTTCTGTAGGGAAGTGTGCATGCCATGTAATGAAGATTCTGAAAAAGATTAGGTTAAGTTGTATTTTTAATTCATTTGAGGATATTATTTTTTGCATTGTGTTCTAAATGTAAGGAGTAAATAAATTAATTGGTATCATGGAAAATTGTTATTAGCATGATTTAGTTTAAAGTAATTAGGATTGTAATCTAATTTTTTATTAATTTAATGTATGTGCTTATTATATTTTTAAGTAGTGTTTTTTTAATTTAATTATATTTAATTTAATGATCGTGATTTTGTGAGTTATATGTTTGTAGCATTTTGGAATACACTTGAGTAGAATACGTTGAGTATTTTTTGCATTTTCGTGAAATTTTTCTAATTTATGAGAAAAAAGCAGTGTCATGGATATAGTGAAG